CTGGACACTGCACCTCTGCGATAACTGGACACTGCACCTCTGTGATAACTAGACACTGCACCTGTGTGATAACTGGACACTGCTCCTCTGTGATAACTAGACACTGCACCTCTGTGATAACTGGACACTGCACCTCTGTGATAACTGGACACTGCGCCTCTGTGATAACTGGACACTGCACCTCTGCGATAACTGGACACTGCACTTGTGTGATAACTGGACACTGCACCTCTGTGATAACTGGACACTGCACCTCTGCGATAACTGGACACTGCACTTGTGTGATAACTGGACACTGCACTTGTGTGATAAATGGACACTGCACCTGTGTGATAACTGGACACTGCACCTCTGTGATAACTGGACACTGCACTTGTGTAATAACTGGTCACTGCTCCTCTGTGTGATAACTGGTCACTGCTCCTCTGTGTGATAACTGGTCACTGCTCCTCTGTGTGATAACTGGACACTGCTCCTCTGTGTGATAACTGGTCACTGCTCTTCTGTGTGATAACTGGTCACTGCTCCTCTGTGTGATAACTGGTCACTGCTCCTCTGTGTGATAACTGGTCCCTGCTCCTCTGTGTGATAACTGGACACTGCTCCTCTGTGTGATAACTGGTCACTGCTCCTCTGTGTGATAACTGGTCACTGCTCCTCTGTGTGATAACTGGTCACTGCTCCTCTGTGTGATAACTGGACACTGCTCCTGTGTGATAACTGGACACTGCTCCTGTGTGATAACTGGTCACTGCTCCTCTGTGTGATAACTGGTCACTGCTCCTCTGTGTGATAACTGGTCACTGCTCATCTGTGTGATAACTGGACACTGCTCCTGTGTGATAACTGGACACTGCTCCTGTGTGATAACTGGTCACTGCTCCTGTGTCATAACTGGACACTGCTTCTCTGTGTGATAACTGGACACTGCTCCTCTGTGTGATAACTGGTCACTGCTCCTCTGTGTGATAACTGGACACTGCACCTATGTGATAACTGGTCACTGCTCCTCTGTGTGATAACTGGTCACTGCTTCTGTGTGATAACTGGACAATGCTCCTCTGTATGATAACTGGTCACTGCTCCTCTGTGTGATAACTGGACACTGCTCCTGTGTGATAACTGGACACTGCACCTGTGTGATAACTGGTCACTGCTCCTCTGTGATAACTGGACACTGCTCCTCTGTGTGATAACTGGTCACTGCTCCTCTGTGTGATAACTGGTCACTGTTCCTATGTGTGATAACTGGTCACTGCTCCTCTGTGTGATAACTGGACACTGCTCCTCTGTGATAACTGGACACTGCTCCTCTGTGTAATAACTGGTCACTGCTCCTCTGTGTGATAACTGGTCACTGCTCCTCTGTGTGATAACTGGACACTGCTCCTCTGTGTGATAACTGGTCACTGCTCCTCTGTGTGATAACTGGTCACTGCTCCTCTGTGTGATAACTGGTCACTGCTCCTCTGTGTGATAATTGGACACTGCTCCTGTGTGATAACTGGACACTGCTCCTTTGTGTGATAACTGGTCACTGCTCCTCTGTGTGATAACTGGACACTGCTCCTCTGTGTAATAACTGGACACTGCTCCTCTGTGTGATAACTGGTCACTGCTCCTCTGTGTCATAAATGGTCACTGCTCCTCTGTGATAACTGGACACTGCTCCTCTGTGTGATAACTGGACACTGCTCCTGTGTGATAACTGGACACTGCACCTCTGTGATAACTGGTCACTGCTCCTCTGTGTGATAACTGGTCACTGCTCCTCTGTGATAACTGGTCACTGCTCCTCTGTGTGATAACTGGTCACTGTTCCTCTGTGTGATAACTGGTCACTGCTCCTCTGTGTGATAACTGGACACTGCTCCTCTGTGATAACTGGACACTGCTCCTCTGTGTGATAACTGGTCACTGCTCCTCTGTGTGATAACTGGTCACTGCTCCTCTGTGTGATAACTGGACACTGCTCCTCTGTGTGATAACTGGTCACTGCTCCTCTGTGTGATAACTGGTCACTGCTCATCTGTGTGATAACTGGTCACTGCTCCTCTGTGTGATAACTGGACACTGCTCCTGTGTGGTAACTGGACACTGCTCCTCTGTGTGATAACTGGTCACTGCTCCTCTGTGTGATAACTGGACACTGCTCCTCTGTGTGATAACTGGACACTGCTCCTCTGTGATAACTGGTCACTGCTCTTCTGTGTGATAACTGGTCACTGCTCCTCTGTGTGATAACTGGTCACTGCTCCTCTGTGTGATAACTGGTCACTGCTCCTCTGTGTGATAACTGGTCACTGCTTTTCTGTGATAACTGGTCACTGCTCATCTGTGTGATAACTGGACACTGCACCTCTGTGTGATAACTGGACACTGCACCTCTTTGATAACTGGTCACTGTTTCTCTGTGATAACTGGTCACTGCTCCTCTGTGTGATAACTGGACACCGCACCTCTGTGTGATAACTGGTCACTGCTCCTCTGTGTGATAACTGGTCACTGCTCCTCTGTGATAACTGGTCACTGCTCCTCTGTGTGATAAGTGATCACTGCTCCTCTGTGTGATAACTGGTCACTGCTCCTCTGTGTGATAACTGGTCACTGCTCCTCTGTGTGATAACTGGTCACTGTTTCCTCTGTGAAAAACTGGGTCACTGCTTCTCTGTGTGATAACTGGTCACTGCTCCTCTGTGTGATAACTGGTCACTGCTCCTCTGTGATAACTGGTCACTGCTCCTCTGTGTGATAACTGGACACCGCACCTCTGTGTGATAACTGGTCACTGCTCCTCTGTGTGATAACTGGTCACTGCTCCTCTGTGATAACTGGTCACTGCTCCTCTGTGATAACTGGTCACTGCTCCTCTGTGTGATAACTGGACACTGCACCTCTGTGATAACTGGTCACTGCTCCTCTGTGTGATAACTGGACACTGCACCTCTGTGATAACTGGTCACTGCTCCTCTGTGTGATAACTGGACACTGCACCTGTGTGATAACTGGACACTGCACCTCTGTGATAACTGGTCACTGCTCCTCTGTGATAACTGGTCACTGCTCCTCTGTGTGATAACTGGTCACTGCTCCTCTGTGATAACTGGACACTGCACCTGTGTGATAACTGGACACTGCACCTGTGTGATAACTGGACACTGCACCTGTGTGATAACTGGACACTGCACCTGTGTGATAACTGGACACTGCTCCTGTGTGATAACTGGACACTGCACTTGTGTGATAACTGGACACTGCACCTGTGTGATAACTGGACACTGCACACCTGTGTGATAACTGGACACTGCACCTGTGTGATAACTGGACACTGCACACCTGTGTGATAACTGGACACTGCACACCTGTGTGATAACTGGACACTGCACACCTGTGTGATAACTGGACACTGCACACCTGTGTGATAACTGGACACTGCACACCTGTGTGATAACTGGACACTGCACCTGTGTGATAACTGGACACTGCACACCTGTGTGATAACTGGACACTGCACACCTGTGTGATAACTGGACACTGCACACCTGTGTGATAACTGGACACTGCACACCTGTGTGATAACTGGACACTGCACACCTGTGTGATAACTGGACACTGCACCTGTGTGATAACTGGACACTGCACACCTGTGTGATAACTGGACACTGCACACCTGTGTGATAACTGGACACTGCACCTGTGTGATAACTGGACACTGCACCTGTGTGATAACTGGACACTGCACCTGTGTGATAACTGGACACTGCACCTGTGTAATAACTGGACACTGCACCTGTGTGATAACTGGACACTGCACCTGTGTGATAACCGGACACTGCACCTGTGTGATAACTGGACACTGCACCTGTGTGATAACTGGACACTGCACTTGTGTGATAACTGGACACTGCACCTGTGTGATAACTGGACACTGCACCTTTGTGATAACTGGACACTGCACCTGTGTGATAACTGGACACTGCACCTGTGATGAAGGTTAAAACACATGTGCACATGTGTCTTAATCTTCAACTTGTGAATATTTTATGCCATTTACAACATGTGATTGTCTCTAGATCTTCAACACTGGTATAAGAACATAAAGGAGGAACATCGAAGTAGGCCTACTGGCCCATACTAGGCAGGTCTTTGTCAATCCCAAACCCACTAACGAAAATATTCACCCAACTCATTATCAGTGTTACTCAATTGCAAATTAACTCAGGTGTAAATCCCACTCAGATCCAACTCCTCTCACTCGTGTATTTATCTAACTTACATTTGAAGCTACCCAACGTTTAAGCTTCACTGATCCTATTAGGTAGACTGTAACACTCATCCATTACTCTATTTCCAAACCAGTATTTTCCTATATCTTTTAGAAACGCTTGCTGCGCTCTCCACTATTGCTTTTGCTTCCACTGAAGTAGAGGGGCTGGACTTATGGAATAACGCAATAAACCTATGAACTGGTATAGTCAAAAGTTACTGCACTGTTAATAAATCGATTCCAAGCGGATCGATTTACTAGCACTACGCAGACAGACAGATCATCCAGTGGTTCGATCCGATTCGATTCGATGAGGTTCGCCGGTACTATCCAGGCCCAGGTCTCGTCCAGTTGTTGACCCGGCGCACCTAGTGGTGGCAGTTGAAATATTCGACTTGTAATCAGGGCAGACAAACTCCCAAGGCTCCCATATTTACTGTCTTCCTTACCACTGGTATGCCAAGCGTGGCTGTCTACTCCGACAGATACTGATGTTGTTTGTGTGTTGTATATGGCCTGGTGATTGTACAGACATCCTTCAGCTCACTCTATATGGCTCGGTCACTAAGGGTATTGTTTTCAGTTGCTCGTATTTTTATTAACGTTTGTGCGTGCTTATTTTCGTTATGTTTATAGTTTCATAATGTGTTTTTCTTTACATGTATATTTATTTTTTAAGTTTTTATTTCCATTATGCTAGTTTAATTGAGAAGTTTGTTCTGTGTAATTATAGTGGGTTGTGTCCACGCAGCTTATCAGCAGCAGACAAAGCAGCATCAGCAGACAAAGCAGCAGCAATCATCAGCAGCAGCAGACACAGCAGACACAGCAGCAGCAGACACACCAGCAGCAACAACAGTAATAAGAACAGGACCAGCAGCATTATTGTAGTCTCTTTATTATCAGGTGACTGACCTCTCTCTTTCTCTTTCTCATTCTGTGCGAGTAATAGGAAGAGGGTTTAGTTTTCCTGGATTTTTATAATCATGGCGAGAACTAAACCTGAAAGTGTCAAAAGAATGAGAAGTAATGATGTTTGATGGAGGAAAACGACCAGCTTCACCAAGACCCCAAAACGCTTCCCCATTATCAAACCTTCCCTCCCTCCGTCCATTGAGATTTGTAGATATAGTATTTTAAACCACCCACAAGACATTGTCGTCATCACCTATGTGGACCAGAGGATATACCATTGAATACTTAGTTACAAAACCATGGAAATGCGGAATAAGGAGAGTCTTCTGCTTTACGATCCGTGTATCATACACATAAATGATACATGATAATCCTTAATCTAAAGTCCTCTTCTGTCTGTCTTTCCCATGAGCTCCCATATAAAAGCCTACATGCCCTGGCATTATCTCTTCCACTCACAACCTTCTTCTCACCAACCTACTCCTCCACTATCCCCACTTCCCGGCTCGCCCTACAAAGGTCTTACCTAACTCTCCTGATCATGAAGGCATATATCACGAATTTCAAAAATGACAGACGATTTATTTCTCGCCTGATTACTACTGCTTGGCTGCTTCTATACACACGCTTTATAAACACGTGAAAAAACGACACTTCAAGCCATCTGTGAAAAAATATGATGACTTTTAAGTATATAGATCAGCGAGACGACTTTCACAGTGATGAAAGCTTCTTGAAGGCAGACTGTTTGCATCTGTATGCCATGGGAAGTGCAAGACAGGGACGAACGGTGTATAGATTGCAAAACAGAATTAGTTGGCTGAGAGGCCAAGAAGAGAGGAGAAAGAGCAGTGGTGAGACGTAAGCTTGAGAAAGTGACGCTTGGGAGTTATATCAAACGAAAACACAACTCTTGAAGCAATTTTACCACACAGGATGAGTGAAGGGAGGGAGGGAGGGATGAAAGTAAACTACATACACTTAGACACTTCTAGGTGTGGCCAGGCATGTATACTGAGAATATCCTCCGGATCTAACAGGTTTACCCACTTCCTGATAACTAGATGTATTTCGGTCGCTGTGTCAGAGATATAAATTATTAATAATTTATCTGAATAAATACAGACTTCCACCATAAAACATGCCAGGAATGAAAGGCCATAGTCATGGTTGAAATAATGCCATTATAAGCATATACCACCGTAATAAAATATAACAGGGTCAAGAACTATGAAATGTCCACCTCCCATTAATTATAATAATTACTACAATAGTTTGTGGCTTAGCCCTTCTTTTTGATTATAATAATAATAATAATAATAATAATAATAATAATAATAATAATAATAATAATAATAATAATAATAATACAATAGTGAGACATGCCCTGACACGTCCTTACCTGACCAACGCTGCCGATGTTTACCTGGCCTGGAGAGGGTTTCGGGGGTCAACGCCCCCGCGGCTCGGTCTGAGACCAGGCCTCACGGTGGATCAGGGTCTGATCAACCAGGCTGTTACTACTGCCGCACGCAAGCTGACGTACGAAACCACAGCCAGGTTGGTCAGGTACTGACTTTAGGTGCCTGTCCAGTGCCTTCTTAAAGACAGCCAGGGGTCTATTGGTAATCCCCCTTATGTAGGCTGGGAGGCAGTTGAACAGTCGTGGGCCCCGGACACTTATTGTCTCTCAGTGTACTCGTGGCGCCCCTGCTTTTCATCGGGGGAATGTTGCATCTCCTGTCGTCTTATGCTTTTATATGGAGTGATTTTCGTGTGCAGGTTCGGTACTAATCCCTCCAGGACCTTCTGAGATAAAACTAATAAATGTCCCTTAATTTAAATTCAAATTCAAAATCTATTTCCATTCGATACAATGTGCAGAAATGAAGCCAGTCACAAACGGGTGGGACTTGAACCCATGGCAGATGAATTCTAAAGCTCACAGGCCAGTGTGCTAACCAGTATGTTCCCCTCAAGGGAGGTTCCTTGTTGCTGGTGAGGGGCTTTTGATCTAGGGAATTGGATCTGTGCTCCAGTTCCCTGAATTAAGCCTGAATACCTTCCATTCCCCCCCCCCCCACCCCACGGGCGCTGTATAATCCTACTGGTTTAGCGCTTCTCCATGATTATAATAATAATACCAGCATGTTAAAAATATCACAAGCAAGATGGAAAATGAGCCAACTAGATCAGACAGAATTATGATTGTAATAATGTTGGTAGAATTACCAACACTGGGGTAAGTGGGCAAAAATTCTTCCTCCTCAAGCCATGCGTGTCGTAAGAGGCGACTAAAATGCCAGAAGCAAGGGACTTGGAACCCCTTCTTCTGTATAAATTACTAAATTTAATACGAAAACGAAAGTTTTTCTTTTTAGGTCACCCTGCCTCGGTGGGATACAGTCGGTTTGTTGAAAGAAAAAGAATTACCGATAATATATTAGGTAAAAAGACACAATAAAATGTCGCAGTAGTTGCGCTTGTGTCCTTTTACCTAACAGAACTGTGATTAACCCCAGTGGGTTAATTCTAGAGAATAAAACAAGAAAGTTAAAGTGCGCGGCTTATTATCCTGAGGCTCACTATGTCCTCCCTCAGAACACGACCCACAAGTCGACAAACTTCCTGGTACATATTTACTGCTAAGTGAACAGGGACAGTAGGTGTAAATAGGGAGATTGTTATACGTGTTATATCGCCTCTCCTCAGATTGAACCATTTCTTTTGGTTGTGAGCAGAACGTTCTAAGCGAAAGAAAGATTTAAATGGGATTAGCCACCCCGTAGGTATAATGTACACTTGACCACATAGTATGCAGCTGCTCAGAAGACATTAGTCAATCAATTATTACCACATAGATCTCAGTGATCATCTTATCACTTACTGACCCAGACAAACTATTAGAGAATGTATAAGTCATCATAGGGCGATAAGAGTGAGATCAACTAGCAACAACAATAAGACTAATAATTCATCTAGAAAACAGTAACTGGATACCAATTACAATATGCATAGATGTCACTGATGCCTGAGAAATTAGAAGCATATTAACTGCTATCCTTTATGATATTATACCAATCAAGGAGATTAGGTTAAAAGGGAGAACGAAACCCTGGATAACTGGCGAAATAATAAACATCAAATTCAGAGACCAATTGCTTAAAAATGTTAGATCAAACAGGCACTATGTTGCAGAGCTAAATAAACTTTATAGGATGAGGAAGAAAGTGCAGCAGCTTATACAAGGAGCCTAGCAAAGTACCATTGCATAAAACTCATCTTAAGAACATACGAACAATCACTGCAAGTCTTGTCAACATTTAAAAGCACTTGGGTATATTCATAAACCAGCAAGTTGATCTAACAAAGTGCAAAATATTCATTAATCTAGTTATATAATGGTGGCCGGTAGCCTGGTGGAAAAGGCTCTCGCTTCACACGGTAAGATAAGATTTCGTTCGGATTTTTAACCCCGGAGGGTTAGCCACCCAGGATAACCCAAGAAAGTCAGTGCGTCATCGAGGACTGTCTAACTTATTTCCATTGGGGTCCTTAATCTTGTCCCCCAGGATGCGACCCACACCAGTCGACTAACACCCAGGTACCTATTTGCTAGGTGAACAGGACCACAGGTGTAAGGAAACGTGTCGAAATGTTTCCACCCGCCGGGAATCGAACCCGGGCCCTCCGTGTGTGAAGCGGGAGCTTTAGCCACCAGGCCACCTAATTTGCTCGAAATGCTCTGTATAACAATGGGTTTTCTATATAGTAGTATGTCACTGATGTCAGCTATGGTCTGTATACCTTGAACATGTAGAAATAAATATTTTTTTTTATTATCACACTGGCCGATTCCCACCAAGGCAGGGTGGCCCGAAAAAGAAAAACTTTCACCATCATTCACTCCATCACTGTCTTGCCAGAAGGGTGCTTTACACTACAGTTTTTAAACTGCAACATTAACACCCCTCCTTCAGAGTGCAGGCACTGTACTTCCCATCTCCAGGACTCAAGTCCGGCCTGCCGGTTTCCCTGAATCCCTTCATAAATGTTACTTTGTTCACACTCCAACAGCACGTCAAGTATTAAAAACCATTTGTCTCCATTCACTCCTATCAAACACGCTCACGCATGCCTGCTGGAAGTCCAAGCCCCTCGCACACAAAACCTCCTTTACCCCCTCCCTCCAACCTTTCCTAGGCCGACCTCTACCCCGCCTTCCTTCCACTACAGACTGATACACTCTTGAAGTCATTCTGTTTCGCTCCATTCTCTCTACATGTCCGAACCACCTCAACAACCCTTCCTCAGCCCTCTGGACAACAGTTTTGGTAATCCCGCACCTCCTCCTAACTTCCAAACTACGAATTCTCTGCATTATAGTCACACCACACATTGCCCTCAGACATGACATCTCCACTGCCTCCAGCCTTCTCCTCGCTGCAACGTTCATCACCCATGCTTCACACCCATATAAGAGCGTTGGTAAAACTATACTCTCATACATTCCCCTCTTTGCCTCCAAGGACAAAGTTCTTTGTCTCCACAGACTCCTAAGTGCACCACTCACCCTTTTCCCCTCATCAATTCTATGATTCACCTTCTTTCATAGACCCATCCACTGACACGTCCACTCCCAAATATCTGAATACATTCACCTCCTCCATACTCTCTCCCTCCAATCTGATATCCAATCTTTCATCACCTAATCTTTTTGTTATCCTCATAACCTTACTCTTTCCTGTATTCACTTTTAATTTTCTTCTTTTGCACACCCTACCAAATTCATCCACCAATCTCTGCAACTTCTCTTCAGCATCCAAGAGCACAGTGTCATCAGCAAAGAGCAACTGTGACAACTCCCACTTTATGTGTGATTCTTTATCTTTCCCAATGGAAATAAGTCACTCTGGACTTTTTTGGGTTATCCTAGGTTCTCTACACATATGCTGCTATGTATGATAATTCTATGTAACTGTATTTGTGTATACCTGAATAAACTTACTTACTTACTTACTTACTTAACTCCACGCCTCTTGCCAAGACCCTCGCATTTACTTCTCTTACAACCCCATCTATAAATATATTAAACAACCACGGTGACATCACACATCCTTGTCTAAGGCCTACTTTTACTGGGAAATAATTTCCCTCTTTCCTACATACTCTAACTTGAGCCTCACTATCCTCGTAAAAACTCTTCACTGCTTTCAGTAACCTACCTCCTACACCATACACCTGCAACATCTGCCACATTGCCCCCCTATCCCCCCTGTCATATGCCTTTTCCAAATCCATAAATGCCACAAAGACCTCTTTAGCCTTATCTAAATACATGTTTCACTGTAAACACCTGGTCCACACACCCCCTACCTTTCCTAAAGCCTCCTTGTTCATCTGCTATCCTATTCTCCATCTTACTCTTAATTCTTTCAATAATAACTCTACCATACACTTTACCAGGTATACTCAACAGACTTATCCCCCTATAATTTTTGCACTCTCTTTTGTCCCCTTTGCCTTTATACGAAGGAACTATGCATGCTCTCTGCCAATCCCTAGGTACCTTACCCTCTTCCACACATTTATTAAATAATTGCACCAACCACTCCAAAACTATATCCCCACCTGCTTTTAACATTTCTATCTTTATCCCATCAATCCTGGCTACCTTACCCCCTTTCATTTTACCTACTGCCTCACGAACTTCCCCCACACTCACAACTGGCTCTTCCTCACTCCTACAAGATGTTATTCCTCCTTGCCCTATACACGAAATCACAGCTTCCCTATCTTCATCAACATTTAACAATTCCTCAAAATATTCCCTCCATCTTCCCAATACCTCTAACTCTCCATTTAATAACTCTCCTCTCCTATTTTTAACTGACAAATCCATTTGTTCTCTAGGCTTCCTTAACTTGTCAAT